AATACCATTTTAATACATATTTTTAATTAGCAATCTTACAGAACAGTACTAGCAATCTTACAGAGTTCCTGCAGCTGAACTGATGGCTTTTTATTTTTCAGACTCTGATTTACTGTGATTTACTCTTGCCCCTTCTGTGGCACAAAGCTGCTCTGCCTTGTATATGTGGCAAAATAGGAAAAGGACAAGGAAGCAAGAGAATACTTATTTGCTCTTGGTTCTCTTTCACAGATCTCCCTTGCATTCCTAACTTTTCTATGCCTTAGTTGTCCATTTGCAAGATGTGTTGTTGCAAAGCTGCATTATACTCTCTCAGCTTCTTGTAATTTTTAAGAAATGGAGACCATCTAAGGACCAAAACCAGAACAAGGAGCCAAAGTCACAAATGGCTTAATAAATTATCCTGAAGAAAGTTGTTTTTCCCAGGTAATAGCCACCTTCATCATCTTACTTCCAGGAAGGAAAAGATTATAGAATTGATTGCAGAAGCCCTGTGTCCATCGGGAATTAGGACTTTGGGCAAAAAAAGAAAAGTCAGTATTTAGAATAGATGAATGAAAGCAACAGGAGACAAAGTTGTAGCCTGTAAGAAATGGGGCTCATACAATGGTAATGACACAAAGGCATCAATAAATTTCCTAAAAGCCCATTCGGAGGGATATCCCTGTGCTTACCTGGCATGAGCTGAAAGTCAGCTGCAGTCTTCCATGGAAAGCCCTTGAGAAGAAGGAGGAAAAGAACACTAAAAAGAATTCTAAATGAATATGAAGAGACGGGGACAAAAGTCGTTTCGCTGTTTCCTCTTCAAGCATTGCAGTTGAGGATTGAAAAACAAATATACTGAATAAAGCTTAAAGTACAGGTGGATTTTAAAGCTATGGAAGCTATAGGAAAGTCAGTCACTACACCTGAGAGTAACATTTGCAAGGAAGTTGTTTGAACATTTCCAGTCAGCTACCAGGAAGGCCACAGAGGGGTTTGTATCTGATGCAAGGGTCCGTTTTCTTCAACCTCTCAAACTTTTTTCATTATCTATGCATTATCTGGTTTTAAAATGAACAGCTATAAGGAGATGCAGGAATACAACATGCGTTTGGAAGCACAACTATCTCTATTCAACATCCCAGCACCAGGGTGAGGCATGATTCCACTTTCACATTTGGCTTTGCTATAGATCTATCATTATAAAGACCTATATCAGACGAAAAGCCTCAGCTAGTTATTTCTGGGCCTTTCACCAGACAGATTGCTTCATAAAACTGAAACATAAACATCCAAGACAAACAAAATAACTTGTGGCTCAGGAAATCCCACATTCATCAGTTTGGAAAACATTCACCAGGAGCATCCTTGCAATGAAAGAATAGCTTGCTGCTGAGAGGGTGGGATTTACTTTCTTATCAAGACATAATGCAAGCCACGATTCAAAAAGATTTATTATCTAGTTACTGATCCCTGCCCCAGTATACGCTAACTCATTCCACAGATAGGACTTGTGTACTTAATCCTTAAGGACATAGCTACACTGTGAGAGCAGTGAAAAAATCTATGTGAAGAGTGACGTGGGAGAGAAGCGCCTCCCCAGACAAGCAATTTTTCTACACCTGCAGACAGAAATATGTAATCTCCATGTCATCCCAGGGAACAGCCACACAGAGACCCTTCCTTCATCACCCTCCTCCATGATGGAAACACCAACAGCACAGAGATTGCTCCCCTTCATCTACTTAGGTGGAACTAGAGCAGGAGATGCTAGCAAGAACAGAGAGAAGCTACCTCCAGAGGATACCGCCCTGTTTGCTCCAGCTGTCTGTCTGTCTATCCCTCTTCTGGCTCCTCCCTTTCTCTGCACATTATCTCTGTTCTTAACCCTGTTTATCTTTCCTTTTACTATCTCTTTTCACCCAGAAGCTACTCAGACAATGCTCCATGCTTGATTTTTCTCTGGATATGGTCATATGAATGCAACATTGTTTATAATAAAGGAAAGAGAAGGACACATCTCTCCCACCCATAGCCATCACTCACCTCAAAATTTTTACTTATGCTCTGCATTCTTGGGGCAAGATTGTTTTGGTGTGTAAGGCTTTCATATTTGTGGGATGAGGGTACATGACTGGAAGCAGTAGACTTATGGTAGCTTAGCAACTCAGTTGAAGCACTGAAGAGGTGATGTACCATTAGCTTGCTCTGACTAGAAGGCACAACAAGTTATATGAGCACTTTTTTAAATGAGAGAAGATGTATGTACATCTAAATACTTCTATGGTAGAAGATGGTACATGCCTCTGGCTCCCACTTAACAAAACCCAAATCATACAATGTTAACATCATTCAAAGGATCCTAGCTCTCTAATGCCTAAACATATGTCCATATTTCATTTTTTTTTTTAGTCATAGATAACAGGAGTATTGCCTAATATACATTGCCTAAACTATTTCTTAAATTTTAAAAACCAAAGCTGAGCTAATATTTATTCAAAAATGGTGGCTGGCAAGCTTTTCAGGACCATGGAAAAACAGCCATGGCTGTAGAAAACGATGAACTGGTAACAGTGATATACTAATATGAGCTCCAGCTCTTAAGAGAAATAAAACATCGATGAATATTTGATTCCAGCCTCCCCTTTTAACATAACGAGGAATCATATGATAAAAAATACTATTTTGACCTGTCTTAAAAACAGTCCATTTTAAGACTTCCTCCTGCACAATTCCCCCATGCTCTTTTTCCAGCCACTCCTCATGCCCACCCTCCAGACAGGCTTATAGACACCTCCCCCTCACAACATTATGAAAAGCTGAACTCTGACAGTTTCTTTCGGAATTCAGAAGAAAGCATTCTCTGCAATCAGTAATAAGCAGATAAAATCCCAATAGTGATACAGGAAAACCGGCAGAGTTATGAGCAGGCTGTATAGGTTCACTATGGGAGAAAAAGAAAGGTAGAGGGAGTTAGCACAGGCACTTTCCTGCTCAAATGCACAGCCTGAGATCTTTTTGAATCCCATGGCCATGTTGCTCAAGCCCAGAGGTGATATTTACCACTTCAGCAGCTGTCAGTGTTAACAGAGGAGGGGTTGTGAGAAGCTGGGGAGAAGGAGGAGCCAAAGCAGCAGATTATTGACATGTAATCAATCCCTTAGCATTGTGTGAGTGTGCCAGTACTGTGCAAAGGGTGCTGCTGCATCTACATGCACAAGTATACTTGAAAGAATATTCTGATACCTGTGCTCAGATCCAGTTTTTCAGTGCATTCAAAACCTCAACTCCATAACACAGTAAAAAGACTGTAGTATATTTTAGCATGCTCATTTTGAAATATAAAAGGAGCCAGGCAGTTAAACGTAGGAAGCTTCTATGAAATTTTAACCTGCATCATATCTCTATATTACAGCAAAGGCAAATTCTGCCTAACACATAAATACTCACCAATGATGGACCAATTAATGCAATGTACTTTTCCATTCTACCCACAGGTGTCATTGGAAGGATTTATTTCTAGCTCCAGTAAATTAGCATATGAGCAATATGGAGGCATTTGTTTGTTCCTGTATTTGGACTGGTAGTTTTTTTAAGTTTGTCTTTGGACACGTTTTATTTTCCAGCAAGTCTGATACAAGCATGAAGAGAAACATCAATACAGACCTGACTATGATAAACTTCAGATGCTACCCTAGCATACATAAGAATACAGAGGAGAACTGACACTGGTTTTGGATGAAGTAAAGGTGATGTCTGTTGCAGATAGCAAAGAAAATCCACGTGGTAGGTCACTAGTTCTGTGATACAGAACTTGAGATGTCTTTGTGTAAAAATATGATTGTAGACCAAATAAATTATTATTCATTGTGCTTGTACAAACAGGTTCAAAGAAGAAATAGTGAATCAGTGGGCCGTCTTAGTCAATCAAGAATAAATTGCATAGTCAAGCTTCTATTCAGTATCACAGAAATGTTGGTTGGATTAGGCTTTGGGATGTCATGTCATCCAGCTTCTGCTTTGAATGGGATTGCCACCAATATTGGATCAGATAATCTGTGGCTTTGTCTAGCTAAATCTTGAAAACTTCCAAGAATGGGGATCCCATAGCCTCCCTGGATAACCTGTTCCTGTTCTGCATTGCTTTTCTAGTTAAAAAGTTTTTCCTAATCTGAACCCCCCAAGACTATGTTACATGCACTACAGGAGAGGCAGAGGGTGCTGCACTGGTAAAGGTCGTTGAAGGGGAGGCTAAGGGGTGATCTAATCTAATCTAATAGCTAATGAAAGAGAAAGTACAAAGGTTATAGGGCCAAGCTTCTATTAGTAGTGCCAGGGAATATAACAAGAAGCAGCAGCCACAGATTGTGGCTTTTTTTCATA